TCACCAACTCCCAAAGCTTGTCCATTGAGTCGGTGATGCCATCCCACTATCTCATTCTCTGTCATCCCCTTCTCCTCCTGCCTTCAATCTTTCCCAGACTCAGGGTCTTTTTCAATGAGTCAGTTCTTCACATCAGGATTGGACTCTGTCTAGGTATTTTATTCAAGGGATTTCCACTTGTATGTCCTCAAGGCTAAATGTTTTGTATTAAAAGAAATATTTATTTGTTACAACAAAGTCCCTGGATGCAAACCGTGATTTCATCTGGTATGCAACTGACCCAACAGCAATCTGATCTGAAATTGGAGGCAGAACTGACCGTAAGAGCATTAAGGAGAAACTCTGTGTATGTGTGTGTATTTCCTACTTGTTTCCTTTTTTATGGATACTGTTGGAATTTTGTTAAGGTCTGGTTTGCCTGTATGCAATGAGTATATGTTGGAATGTAATGTTGTAAAGATGCCCCTCTTCCTTTGCTTGTCATCTCCATGTTAATTTGCTCTCATTAGAGGGTGTGCATTGTGGTCATCACTTCACACTATTTTTATCTGATGCTAACTTCCAAGCTAGATATTTTGCCATTTGACCAAGATAACAATGCAACAGGAAATCAGTATAGCTTTCATATTTCCTAGAAGCCATACAAGACTATCTAGAAAAATTTCAAGTGTGTGTACACGACTCAAGGGGAAGAACTCAGGTACAGATGGTGAGAAATTTCTAACCAAGCCAGGTTTCCTACTGACTTTCTTTATAACCTGGTGGAGTGAAGCTATAGCATACATTGTCTTTAGTTTAGAAGTGAATCTCTGTGAGGACGAAAAATTGTGTGAGGAGGATCTGGTCAGTATGAATAGATGAGGAAAAAGTGTAACTCCCTTGACCTCAAAAATAACTCCCTCACACATTCTACCAAATCAGACATGCATGGAATAATAGATTCTTCTGAAAGCTGCTAGGAAAGTTAAGCCTCCTACCACGTGTACTTTAAACTGGACTGTTTTAGTCAGGCACTTGACAGCTTGTCCTCTAACATGTGACTGAGAAGATGGACTAGTTAGTGATCTTGTTTTGAAAGAAACTGGAGAAGGAGGAGAAAGGGGCAATTACAAGCAAGAGCTATTTTGGAAAAGGTGCTGACCAGGAGGAAAGTGCTGAAGTGAGATGCTTGGGATAGCTGCACACAGGGTCCTGGTTCTTGGAAGCTGAGCGTCAGAGACAGGGAGAGGAGTGGAAGTGGCCATGGTTCCAGAGAGGGAAGGGTGAAGTAGCTGAAACTGACACAGTGATGGCAAGAATCCTTCTTATATCCTGTTGAGAATCAAGTCATGGTCATGCAGCTCTCTGCCTCGAAGAATTACTTGACTTGTTTCCTCCCAAAGAATAAACTGTCTTATGCATCAATGATTATCTTAGAGTAGAGTGTCCCCATGTTAGTGTTCAATAAACACTCAGCTACTTAAAGCTATAATGCTCTTGATGCCTTTACCATATCTACTGATGATTGTCCAGGACCTTACCACCTGGAACTTGATTTCTATCAAAGTTTGCAAAGTCCTTGGCCAAAAATAACTTCAACTGAACTTTAAAAATAAAATAGACACATTCTAGAGCAACCAACCAAGTAATTCTGCTATGTGAACCATCAGGCTAAATGACTCATTTATCTAAATGGCATTCAATCTCACGTGGGCATTCAAGAGTTTTAAAACAGACCACAGTGATTTCTCCAAACCCTAAAAATCCCAGAAAACAGGAGCAGCAGGCAGAAAGCTTTCATCCTTGTCAAAATCAGTCTTGACTTCTGTGCATCACCAAGGTTGTGTGTCAATGTCACATTCTTGTTCACTCAGGCAGATGTGTCTGGGTCACTAGCCCATCGTTCTAGATATAAAACCAAGAGCTGGAGAGTAGTAAAGGTCAGAGCTCCAAAGAGGAAGAAAGAAGCCAAGAAGTGGTGACAAAGAGGTCAGCAATCATAAGGAAACTGATCTTGCCGAGGGTGTTGTGGGGAGGGAGAGAATGGGAGACCATCCCTAGGAACTGAGTAGTAGGTCACAGCAGGGAGCACATTTTTGCAGCTTTCCTAGTTATTTGTCATCTGCTTCTAGATCTTCCCTGAGAAACTCCCAGAATAACTTCTTAGAGGAAATATACTCCTTTTTTGGGGGGTGGGGGGTGAACAAAAGTTTAATTCAGGTGGATGAATAGATTTATAGACCAGTCTGATCCATCTCAGCTGCCGCTGCCTGTATTCACATTCCCATTGTCTCTCCTCTGCAAATTACAGTCATCCTGTGACTACTGTGGTATTGGAGAAGACTCTTGAGAGTCCCTTGGACTGCAAAGAGATCCAACCAGTTCATCCTAAAGGAAATCAGTCCTGAATATCCATTGGAAGGTCTGATGCTGAAGCTGAAGCTCAGATACTTTGGCCACCTAATGGAAGAACTGACTCCTTGGAAAAGACCCTGATGCTGGAAAAGATTGAAGGCAGGAGGAGAAGGGGATGACAGAGGATAAGATGGTAGGATGCCATCACTGACTCGATGAACATGCGTTCGAGTAAACTCTGGGAGTTGGCGATGGACAGGGAGGCCTGGTGTGCTGCTCCCCATGGGGAGGCAAAGAGTCGGACGGACTGAGTGATAGAACTGAACTGTCACTACTGCTGTTGCTTGCATTGCTGTGTCTCCTGCCTCACCCCAAGCCTTCAAAGTCACTCCTTACTCTGTTGCAGGGAAACATTTTCCAAACTGCAAGTATTACTTGGCAGCCCTGCTTCAAAACTTTCTGTGACTTTCCAATTTCTGTGGAATAAACCTCAAAGTTTGTAGCGTGAAGAACCTCCATATTCTATTCCTCCAAACTTCTCTTTCGTGACTTCCCTTTATTAATTCTAGCTTCACACAGTTTTTACAATTTCTATCTCCAGTCTTTATATTGTTTGACCTACCCGGCCCCTGCCAGCAAGCGCTCATTGTGTGTCCGCCCAGCTTCCAAGGCCTGCAGGCCTCTCCCTCTAAGCACGCGGGCTACTCTGCGTGAACGGAAAACGCAGTTCCCTGCACACTCAAGCCCCAGGAGCTCAGCCTCCTCAGAACCAACCAGGTCGGATTGTCCAGCAGGCCTGGCTACGTGGGACCAGCAGATCCTGCTTCTCCCGACGGCGTGGCAGCCGCTGACTGGCGCGGCGGCACACACGTCGAGGAAGCAGCGACTGTGATCCCGAGGCCACGCCGACCGGAGGAACACGCGCGCTCACGGCGGCCGTCACAATGCCGGCAGGCAGCGGCCTGCGGTAGTGGCTGGTCCGGGGGCCGTCCGGCGCTCATCCCTTAGATGTGGGTCTGGCCCGCGTGACGTGGCAGCAGCCCGCGGCACCAGCTCCTCCCGGAAGAATAAGCAGCGCCTGTCCTCGCAGGAGGCATCTCCACCTGTGAGGTGCCCTCCTCTCAGGCCTCGGCTCCCCGCAGCGGTCGGAGCGCGTCCAGGAGAACGCACCTCTGCGCGGCGCCCTGGTGCACGCAGCCCCTCCTGCCGCTTGTCCGTCAGGGGCGACGCGGCCGCCAGCACCACCGAGCGGCAGCAGCAGACGACCGTCGCCGCACGGTCAGGTCAGCGACGTCCGCGTCAGCAGCGACACGGACGACGAGGAGGAGCAGAAGCGCGCGCGCCCAGGTGAGGCCGCACCGCCTTCCTTCCGACGCCCGGAGGAGCCGAGCGGGGGCCGCGTGCGTTTCTGGCCCAGAGACGGTCGTCGCTGGGCCTGCACCCTTCTTGTCGTCCGAAGCGGCCATCCCTTGCTCCTGGCCCCTGAATGCTGGCCTGGCCGTGCCCTGTAGCCCTAAAGTGATTTCAGTGGAATGTCAAAAAGATTTGGGTTTCGTTGGTGGCTCGGTTGGTGAAGAATCCGCCTGCAATGCAGCCAGGAGACACGGGTTCGATCCCTGGACCGGGAAGATCCTCTGGAGAAGGGGTAGGCTAATTAACTCCAGTACTCTCCCCTGGAGAATTCCATGGACAGAGGAGCCTGGCAGGCTGTAGTTCATGGCGTCATAGTCGGACACCCGAGTGAGTAGCACTTCATTTGACAAGCTGCTGCTCCACTGTGTAAAGGCAAAATCAAGTGTTTTCTCATCTTTGGAGGCCTCCTCCTCATTGCTCCACCTCCAAACACCAAAAGATCACATTGAGTGTATTCATGGATGTTGCCAGTTTTTCGGGTAAACACATTTATGTAGTATACACCTACTGTAGGCATGCATACTTATCTCCTGTACTGGATTTTGGCCTTCTTCGAGGTTGATACCTAATGCATTTATTTTTGTAGATCTAGGATAAGGCGCAGAATAAGTGCTTAACCGTTGTCTACTGCATGAATGAAGTTCTCACGCTTAAACCCCAATATTTAATCAGTTACTCAATAAGTAAAACTGAAGATAGTTTATCAGGAGTCAGCTCAGTACTAGGCTAGGTCACCTGTCAAGATGGAAAGTGAGACAGGCACTGGTTGGAGAGGAGGTTTGGGGCCAGTGCAGATGTCAGTTCATTTTGTAAGGAAGGTAAATACAAACAAACAGTAACTGCTGGGAGGGTAGTTATTACTGGACAGGGGAAATAAACAAGATATTTTGGGAAAACAGGTCAAGTGATATGAATGGAAAATGTATCATATTAGATATGTGCCTATTTTGGAATAGGAATGAAATGTACTGAAATAGCCATAACTGGATGAACATGAACTGGTCAGTGAGAGAATTCATGTTGCGGTTGGTAGGGGACTGTTGTAGGTATGGTGATGGCAGGGGGTCTATGGCTCTGAGAGACTGTCAGCTGTATTAAGAGGGAGAGGGAGGCTCGGGTTCGATCCCTGGACCGGGAAGATCCTCTGGAGAAGGGGTAGGCTAATTAACTCCAGTACTCTCCCCTGGAGAATTCCATGGACAGAGGAGCCTGGCAGGCTGTAGTTCATGGCGTCATAGTCGGACACCCGAGTGAGTAGCACTTCATTTGACAAGCTGCTGCTCCACTGTGTAAAGGCAAAATCAAGTGTTTTCTCATCTTTGGAGGCCTCCTCCTCATTGCTCCACCTCCAAACACCAAAAGATCACATTGAGTGTATTCATGGATGTTGCCAGTTTTTCGGGTAAACACATTTATGTAGTATACACCTACTGTAGGCATGCATACTTATCTCCTGTACTGGATTTTGGCCTTCTTCGAGGTTGATACCTAATGCATTTATTTTTGTAGATCTAGGATAAGGCGCAGAATAAGTGCTTAACCGTTGTCTACTGCATGAATGAAGTTCTCATGCTTAAACCCCAATATTTAATCAGTTACTCAATAAGTAAAACTGAAGATAGTTTATCAGGAGTCAGCTCAGTACTAGGCTAGGTCACCTGTCAAGATGGAAAGTGAGACAGGCACTGGTTGGAGAGGAGGTTTGGGGCCAGTGCACATGTCAGTTCATTTTGTAAGGAAGGTAAATACAAACAAACAGTAACTGCTGGGAGGGTAGTTATTACTGGACAGGGGAAATAAACAAGATATTTTGGGAAAACAGTTCAAGTGATATGAATGGAAAATGTATCATGTTAGATATGTGCCTATTTTGGAATAGGAATGAAATGTACTGAAATAGCCATAACTGGATGAACATGAACTGGTCAGTGAGAGAATTCATGTTGCGGTTGGTAGGGGACTGTTGTAGGTATGGTGATGGCAGGGGGTCTATGGCTCTGAGAGACTGTCAGCTGTATTAAGAGGGAGAGGGAGGCCGAGGTGGCGTCTGGGGGCATTTTGTGCAGAGAACAAAGGCTATGATCATATTTTTCACTGTGCCGGGACTCTCCTCCCTCGATCTGAGGAAGCTTCCCACTCCACACGGGAAAGCCTCAGTTATGATGAGCAATAAACATTCATGAATTTTCTATTTATTGGTGCTGTAGCAGCTGCTACAGTCAGAGGCTCACAGCTTGGTATCTCCGCTGTATACAACTTTCTGACCCAGTGTGTAGCTCTTATGAAAAATATTTCATAATGAAAATACACAAGAATAGGGAGATTGTACCCTTGTCCCTATGACCTACTTTTAACAAAATGTATGTTTTGGGTCCTTTTTGATGGATATATTTTAGAGCAAATTCTAGACTCGTAGTGCCTCACACATCTGTACATCAGGACATCAGCATGTATCTCTGTCTGATAAGGATATTAAAAATAATATAACCACCAAGCCATTATCACATCCAAGGTTGCTTTTAAAATGCTTAAGGGACTGGCTCCCTCCTTTCCACCTCATCTCACTCCTCTACCAGGGGGTACATACTGTTATTCCCAATTATGCCTGAAGCTGTTGTCTTTCTGGGAGAAGGACCAGTCACGTTACCCACTTTCCTTGTGCCAGCAGAGTCTTATATTTGCAAAATACCATCTACGAAGAATGAAATTTACTGTCCCTTGCCATTGTTCAGCTCACACCTGATATTTTAAAGAGACGAGAGATGTGTCTGGTCTGAAATGCATGTAGCGTTATTTCAAGTCTCATCCCTACCTATTATGTCAAAAGGATTCACTTTAAAAAATCCTAGCTTGAGAGTTCTCAGAGACACACAAGCAAGGCAGGTATGCCAAGTGTTTATAGATGCATATGGAGTTGCCTGTTATGCCTTTCATTTTGCTGGGGAAATAAACTCATTCATGTATACACACTATGTATATAAAATAGATAACTAAAAAGGATCTGCTGTATAGCACTGGGAACTCTACTCAGTACTCTGTAAAGACCTATATTGGAAAAAAACCTAAAAAGTGGGTATATGTATATATGTAACTGATTCACTTTGATGTACACCTGAAGTTNACTTCACTTTCACTTTTCACTTTCATGCATTGGAGAAGGAAATGGCAGCCCACTCCAGTGTTCTTGCCTGGAGAATCCAGGAACAGGGGAGCCTGGTGGGCTGCCGTCTGTGGTGTCGCACAGTCAGACGCGACTGAAGCGACGCAGCAGCAGCAGCGGCAGCATGGCCTGTAGTCTGTAGCCTTCAAGGAGCTGAGCTTGAGGGTTCTGTCCCAGTGTCTCTCCTCCTTTCGGTAAGTGACAGTCCGTTCTTCCTGACTACAGCTGTCCAGGGCATCTCAGGCTTTCCTTTTTTTCCCCACACCTGTGCATCAGAAAATCTGTCAGCTCCACCTTCTTGATACATGCAAAGGCTGGCAATCCTCAGCACCTTCGCTATTACTGTTCTGGGTTAAGCCTGGGCTCCCCACTCGGGTTGTTCCAAGACCACCTTGCTCTCATGGTTCTTCCCTTAGTTCTCTGTGATCTCTCCTCAGCAAAATAACCAGAGTGATTCTATTAAAATATAGGTGAGATTATGTCTTTCCAGTCCTCAGCAATTTTTTGTGGTTTCCCATCCTACTTTGAATGAAAGCCCTCATTGTTACAGTGACAGAGTAAAGCCAGGTTTTCCATGACCTTTCTATCTTTCTCCTTCTGTAACCTTTTTAATTACTGCTCACCCCCTTGCTTATTTGACTCTATCTACTGGCCTCATTGCTACCCCTTGGACAGGCCAGCCTGAGCTCTCATGGAGAGCTTTGCCCTGGTAACCCACATGGCGCACTCCCCACCTCCTCAGCTGTCTGTTCACCTATTATTTTCTCATCAGTCCTTCCCTGTCTAAAACTGCACCCCCATCTGACACTTCCTTTCCCCTTCCCCTCCTTTGTTGTTCCTTTTTGAACTTCTCACCATCTACTGAGTATTTATTTTATTCATTTAAGACTTTCTAAACTTATTTCCATTCTAGGAGGCAAGCCTCATGAAAGAAAGTGGTTTTTTCCTTGGGTTTTGGGGTGAGGGTCTCTTTTGTTCATTGTTTCCTTTCCAGCCTTAAGCAGCACACACACACACACACACTGATGGATGGTGGGGGAACAGTGGATTTGCTGGTGCTCACTCACTTCGGCAGCATGTACACTAAAACTGGAATGATACACAGAAGATTAGAATGGCCCTTACACTAGGATGACATGCAAAAAATGTCCCATGTTTTATAGCTGATTCACACTGTTGTACCGCAGAGACTAACACAGCACTGTAAAGCAATTATATTCAAATTAAAAAAATAAAAGATAAATTTACTGACTATCTGATAAACCTGCGGATAGTTAATATATGTGCCCCCAAGTATTTAGTAAATGCCAAAAATATGTGTGTAAATATGGATGCCTAACATAAACAAAAATGAAAAAGAGGTATATGACTTGATTTAACCTCTCTGAGGCTTTTTTTTTTCTTTAGCTGAAAATAGGTATCCTATTTTCCTATATCAAACTCATGGGAGTAAATCAGATAATGCATTTTAAAATCTTAAGAGAGAAAAGAACCTAAGTAGATGGTAGGAATAACTGTTTATCAGAACTTGTGTCTTGATTTTTAGTTCAAGGTCTTGAGATTTATATCTTAAGCCACAAGAGAACTTTTTTAGAGGTTTTAAAGTGATGTTTACGATAATGAGATTCGCTTCTTTTGCAATTCATTTTTCTGCAGAAAGCAGGTGGGAATGAATCCCTTGGCACCTCTGACTTGTTGAAAGTGTGTTGTGGAGTTTCTCAACTAGACCACAGGGACCATGAGAGCAGATATCAAGTTATCTTGCCACTTGCAACATTCCCAGCAACACACCTGGTAAAGAGTACACTCTCAGTGAGTCTGTACTGAGTGAACAGATAGGTAATGTCAAGTTCTCCCTTCATTTAAGATGTCCCATTCTCGGAGATGCAAGCTCACTATACGTAGGATGGGTAAACAACAAGATCCTACTGTGTAGCACAGGGAACTATATTCAGTATCCTCTGATAAACCACAATGGAAGGTATGAAAAAGAACAAACTGAATCACTGTTGTACACCAGAAATACAGCATTGTAAAGCAAGTATACATAGATTAAAACAACTAATAAGATGTCCCATTAGTGTGACTGAGATCTAGCAAGATCTATGATCCTCTTCTTTGCCCCCAGCAAGAGGCCACAAGTGTTGACCTCATCTTGTCCTCCTGACCCTCCTCCTCCCGGTCTTCGGTTTGGGCTGGTTTCTCCTTAGCATTTCCACTGAGCTGCTCACATCCATCCTCAGCACCCGACTGACCCAGCATCTGCTCTGTTCTCATCTGAATAGAGCGCTGGGAGAGAAAGGCAGGAACTGTACTGTTTCCACTGTCACAGGCTCACCTTTAGGGAGAGATCGTGTGGGCACCAGGAGGCAGAGTGAGCTGAGCAGAGGTATCTGGGTTGTTTGTGGGAGAGCTACAGCAGCTATCGCAAGGGGAGAGACGCTGATATGGCACAGTGCCCTCCTGTTCTAAGATCAAAGGGCATCATCTACCATAATATCAAAAAACGAGGCGCTCTTTCCATGGGAACCTTTTTGCTTTTCAGAGAAAAATTGTTCTCATTTGTGGGTAGCATGGATGGTAGAAATGAAGAATTAGTCCAATTCTTAGTTCCATCTCTTAGTTCATATTTCATTAGTTTATCTCTCTGTTTCAGTGATTGCATCTAGCTTAGTTTCTTTTGTTTTCCTATCCTAGGATTGGAGCCTTTGTTAGTAAAATCGGCACAAAGTTATCTAAGCAGGTCAACATCTGCCAGTTCAGATCACTTGGCTTATTTTTTTCCCCTGGAGGTGTGAAGAGAGGGGTTGATGAGTGACTGTGGGAGAAGCTTTTAACCTATTAACAGTAAATTTTGGAGAAATGTGTCATAATTTTGTTGTTTTATTTCATTTACACAGTTTTACAAATAAAATGTGGTGTCTAGTAGGCAGATGGAAAAAAAGAAAATGTGACTTACTGCCTTGTCGCTATGCCTTTTTTTTTTAAGGACCTTAATCTTTACTCATTGTAGTTACTGGTTTAATGACAACATAAGTAGATTACCTAGGGTACGCTGACTGCATGAGCAATAGATCGCGAATATTTGCTGGTTCAAACAGGAGCTTACTCCCAGTTCACCTAATGGTCAAGGGATGGTTAATGGATCAACAGATTGTGCTTCTTCACTGTCACTTAGAGACTCAGGCTCAGAGAGGCTCTGTCTTATACAGGCTTCTAAGTCACTCTGGTTTTTCCTCTCA